TCCTAATACATTTTTATTCTGTTTTGATGACCTAGAAATATGTGTTTATGCCAAAGAAATGTGTGAATCCTTTGAATTTATACATGAACATTTGTACATTTGGATGGACAAACATTGTGTGAGCATTGAGAAATATTTTTTAAGGGGGTCATTTATATTCAAATCCAAAAATATATGTGGGACTACTGTGCATATTTTTTCATATCAAGACTGATCTTGCTCCAGTAAAAAGGCTTCCAAGTATTTGAATGTTTTTTTAGGGCTAGAAAAATGAATTTTGAGTCTGCATTTGTAGTTCAGTTGTATTGTTAAATATGAAAAAAACAAATCTTCTACCATCACAGTTGAAATTGATCTTTTCCAATACTGCATTGCATAACCCACTACTAAACATTCAACCCAACTGTTTCCTCACCTGAGTGCCCTCCTGTGTCAACTGCAGTACCAAAAAGCAGAAGGTACTCTGTAAGAGAGGCATGTAGAAGACACATGGAGCCCATCCAGCCCCCAGCATTCACAAACACCCACTGCAGATCCTCATCTGGTAGGATGTGGCCAGGGTATCTAGTTCAATTAAAACATTAACCACACAGCATAACATTAAACCCTCATCTGCATGTAGCTTTAAAAAGATGGATTTCAAGGGAAGCCTAACAGTGTCTGGGGATGAAAACTGAATATGTTTGGTCTTTCTGAAAACAAAATAAAACTTATTTAATTTCACATAAAAATCAGTCATTAAATGCTTACCTATCTGAAAGGTGGAGAGATAAAAAAAAAAAAAAAATCTGTTATTTAAAACAGATTTAGCAGCTTAACACTTGTACCATCTTATTTGTCAACAGGTTGGGATGAACATAACATGTTAAGCTGAAATGAGAAGTCAAATGGCTAAAAAAAAGAAAGAGGGTAAATCTTTAGTTTATAACATGGGAAAAAGCAGTACAAATAACTAGACATTTCCTGATGTAATACCCATTAATGAATGTGGTTTTTAAATATTTAAGTCGCTACCTTTTCCTTAGCTCCACCACCACTTTCAAAAAGGCCTGCTCATGGTCCTGTCCTGGAAGGGCAAGGGGGACAACTATGACTTTTACATTCGTGTACATTTACTTTGAATTATTAATGTATTACACTTTAGGGAACTGCATGATGTCTTTGATTTGATGAAGACATACAAAATAAATGTATAACCAAACTCACCCGCATACTGTTTGGCCAATTTGGCGATGTCTTCTTTGTTAAAAACATACTGCTTGCTGGCCATCCAGTGCCGAAGCAGAAGAACAGCCAGGGCGACGCATACTGCGAACATGAACAGTTTTAAAAACGTTCTTACTACGGCCATTGTAGAAACGGCTCTCCAAATACAGCTGCAGACTCGACTACACGTGTAAGTAAGGGTAGCTAAGTTGCACCGAACACGCCATTGACAGAGAAGTTGTGAAGTCAAAACTGACAGCTTCTTCTGCTGTTTCTTCTTCTTCTAATGATATTCCGGCAGGCTGTACACTGTAGAGTGTAATGCTGCCCTCCAGGGTAGGGGTGGTAGCATAGGGTGGTAGCCTGGTAGGGGTAGGTAGGCTTAGAGCGAATGAGAGGTTGATGTATAAGATAGAAAAATCACTGTATGGATTTAAATAATCTGGCAGAAATTGGAACAAGACACTACTCGAGTATTTGAGTAAAAACATTTTTGTCCAAAATCCTTCTGATAATTGTGTTTACACAAAGGTAATCAGTTTAATATGGGTGGATAACTTAATCATTGTATTGATTTTGAACAGTGACAAATGTGTGGAAATGTCCCAGAAAAGATATGTGAAAAAGATAGTTGAAAAACATTCAACTTCACTGACGATGCAGAAATGATGTGTGATGTCAAAAAGTACAGCAAGGTAGCCTTATTTATCTGACTACATGTACAAGACCAGATTTTAGTTTGTAGTAAGTAAACTGTCTCATTATTTTGCAGAACCAACAGAAGAACAATGGACTAGTACTGTTAAACATGTACTAAGATATTTGAAAAGCACAGGTGAGAAAGATCTGTGTTACAGACAATGCGAAAATACGTAAGAAGCTTGGACTACAAGGTTTCAGTGATGCAGACTCGGCAGATGATGTTAGAGATCGACGTAGTACAACAGGTTACTGTGTAAGTCTGAAGGAAAGTGGTCCTATGATATCAGAAAATGCAAAAGCAACCTATGCGTTATCCACTTGTGAGGCAGAGTATATGGTTTTGGCTTATACAGCTATTAGAGGGACTTGATGGACATCAGTACTAACTAAGGTTTATGAGGATAACCATGGTACAATAGCATTGGCTAAGAACCCTGTAAACAGACAGAGATCGAAACATGTTTGACATAAAGTATAATTTTGTAAGGTCAACTGTAAACGATGGGAAAATAAGTTTGGACTATTTCCCAACAGAACAGATGGTAGCAGATGTGATGACAAAACCAGCAACAAAGTTTAAGCTAAAAGAGTTTGATAAGATTTTGTGTGTAGATTAACCGTGTGAAAACATACATGATAGGTTAGGTGTTAGGTGGGAAACCCTATGTTTATTTTGTTGTTATTTAATATAACAATGTGACATCAAGTGGGGGTGTTTATATATATATACATAGGGAAATATGTGTGCTCTCAATTGTAAAAAGGTGGTTCTATGCTGTGTTAATGACAGCAGCCGATAATATGGGCTGGTATTCATAGTTAAAGTGTGTATGTATGTCAAATGAAAAGTGTCAATAAAGTTTCTATCTCCTGCAGGAGCGTGAGATCCAGTTTTGGGTATGTACACCAGGATGGTTGTGCAAACTGACTCTGCTAACATACAGGGACAAAGCTACATGTGAAAATATGGAAGCACCGAGTTGAAGAATCATGTTGAAGATGAGATGAGAGCTAAAAAAATCATTGGCTAAGTCTGGAATGAGTGCTCCAGGGAAAGATGAGATATGTTATATCATGTTAAAACATTTAAGTACGGCACTTAGGACATTGTTAATGTTGTATAATAAGCTCTGGGAGGAAGGGAGGCAGTGATTGTTCCCATACGGAAATCAGGAAAAGATCCAAGCAATGCAGCTAACTACAGGCCAATTGCCTTAACGTCAAATATCTGTAAACTGCTGGAGTGCATGTTAAACGTACGACTGGTGTATTATTTCGAGAAAAGAGGGATGATGGTGGAATATCTGAGTGGGTTTAGAATGGACAAGGAACACTGGATCCTGTGATAAGTTTAAAGGACGCTGTAAGAAAAGCTCAAGTTAAAAAAAAAAACAGTTGCAGTATTTTTTTATGTGGGAAAAGCCTATGAAATGATTTGGAGAGAAATGGGAATGTTGATTAAATTGCATCTCATGGGAGTCAAAAGAAGGGGTTTTAATTGGATAATGGACTTTATGAACAAGAGATAGATTCAAGTTAAAATGGTGCTGAAATATCTTAAAAGTCTGTTGTATAAAATGGAACACCACAGGGAAGATTAATAGGTCCGATTTTATTTTCAATTATGATAAATGATATATTTGATAATATCCCAACAGATATCAGAAGATCATTGTTTGGGGATGATGGAGCCTTGTGGAAAAAAGGAACAAATGTTAATTATGTTGTAAATAAAATTCAGGAAGGGATCAGTTTAGTTGAGAATTGGGGGTTAAAGTGGGGATTTAAATTCTCTGTGAAAAAAACAGAGATAATGTTCTTTTCTAGGAAGGAACTTGGGAAGAATATTGGTTTGACATTGTATGGAAAGAAGTTAGAACGAGTTGATTCATTTAGTTTTTTAGGGGTATAGTTCGATGTCTGGTTGACCTGGATGGAACACATAAGGAATATTGTTGATAAATGTAAAACAGAGTAATAAATGTAATGAGATGTCTCGCAGGAGTATATTGGGGAGCCAATGTTCCTGCCTTAAAATACACGTGGCATTAATTAGAACTATTGAGTATGGGAGTGTGGTATATGGATCAGATAACAATTGTGCTTTAAAAATAATGATTGATTGATTGATGGATTGAAGAATGAGAAGATTGATATTAACATCAAGCAAAGTCAGAAGGGAAAAGAGTCACATGGAGTAAAATCAAACAGGAATGGCAACAATATTGGAACAGTCAGACAAAGTGAAGACATTTATATTCAATTCAGAACAAAATATATATAGTAAAATAAAGGGGGAACAATAGAAGAGAGGATGTCATAATGGCAAGGTCAAGAATCGATCACAGTAATTTAAATAGTACTCTTTCCAAGCAAAGGTCCCCAGAACCAAATTTAAAAACTATAAAGGTTTAAAATCCAGATAAATCTCTGACTGTTCTTCTTCTGTTGTTTGCTTTTCTATTCATTTTTACTTTTAGTTATGTTAATTTTTATTGAAGTCATGATTAGTCTAAAAAGGTGTGTACCTTTTTAGATTGTAACAGTCAGAATTTGATTAAAAATAAAGGTAGGGGGATAAACAATGGGCTTTCAGCTGCAGTCTTTTTGCTACAGTGGGTGATCTAAAACCCTGCTGTGCCTGAACAATCAGAGCCATTCAGCACTGCAGGGGCTGCATGCCCTGTTTCCAAAGTCCCTGCACCTGCAGTAAGTACATAACCCCCTACCAGGGTCTTTTTTAGGGGTAGATCTTTCAAAAGACCTTACAGTTCTGGGGGAATGGGGCTTAATTGGAAAACATCCATCTGGTCCTTGTGAGGTGTGCAATCAAGCAGAAATAATTGAACATGTACTTATTAAATGTAGAAAATATTTAACACATAGACAGAGCATGATGTCAGAAATGGAGGGAGAAGGACTAGTAAGAAGAGATTTTAAAGGTATTTTGGAGTGTGGTGAAAGAGGGAGTGTAAGTATCTTTTGAGAACAGAGTCTGTGGAGGAGGATTAGTAATCTGAGGGGTCGTTAAATCCGGCAGATGGCAGTAATGCATCTTTTTGGATGCCAGCTGCCAACACAACACAAAGAAGAAGAAGAAGAATTAAACAAACAGACGAACATAAGAAAACTTACAGATATCTTGCTGACCTTTCACGACCACGATGGAGCTCTCGTATCAGTCTATGAAAATCGCCCATCAAGCCCGGGAGGCAGTGAGTTAACAGAGGACTGTGTTTGGATTCTCTGATTCTCTGTTAACTATTATCAAGTTTGCAACTTAAAGTTAACTAGCGAGGGACATTTAACGTTACCTCCTCGCAATGCTAAACTAACTGTTCTTCATGATACGAAATGTCAAACAGATTTACAGATGTGCCCAGTTTTCTACCACATCTTTGCTTTTTTCCCCCACAGATATGTAAATGTAATGTAGGTTTAGCACAAAGCAGTGACAACATAGACCGGCGTCTACTGGTTGCCTGGTTACCAGTCAAGGAAAAAATAATTTTAAGATCAGATAATCCTTTATTTATCCCACAACGGGGAAATTTACAGTAAAGAGCAAAGATTGCAAACAGAAAGTGAACACAGTTACAATTTAAATTAAAAAAAGAAAAATTAAGAATGTACAAATTTTGTACCATTTGAAGAAAATGTACTTAAAAAAACTCAGACATTATTACACAAGTTTGATTAATCGCCAATTATCAGAATAATATCTGGCTATTATTTTACCAGTTGTTATACTAGGTGATAATCTGTCGACATTAATGTAGGCTACTTGTTTTCCTCAATCGTATACTTCAATTAACCATGCTATTATATACTAATAATTGCTATAATAGGAAGCCTTTTAAAATACCCATATTTAACAGTTGATATTAGTATCTAGGTAATTTAGACACAGTACTTTTACTACATTACAATGATTCCAGAAACATACTTTTCATTAGTACTTTCCACCGACAGTCAAAACAGAGACAGACACTAGTTTTTATCATTACTCCTGAAAGTAAAGCAGTAGTGTTTTCACCGTCATTGAGTCCCAGTGTTAAGTGTGATCTATGTTGCTGTGTGATAGGATGAGCTGAGGACTGAAATGAGAAGGAAGAACCTCCTCATCCTCATTTACCAAGAGCTGCTTGGGCAGGGGTCAGTATGAAGTCCTGTGCTGGAAAATGTTGGGGTCATTTCCAATGGCGTGTCTTTTTTCTCTCTCATATAATGTAAATGTTGCTTTCACCAAGATTTTTTTTAACAGGAACTGGTAAAATAGCAATTTAGTTCTGTTCTCTGCACACAAAGTCATTTTTGTACAGGAGAGCTGCTAAAAACATACAAATAATGCAAGCCTATGTTCGACCGCTTGTCAGTGCAAAAATGAAAATGTGTCTAACTTTATTCAATCAAATTCAATTATCACCAGCTACATGGCTGCAGCTTTAGCCTTGGACCAGGAGACTAATGGAGGTGTCAGAAAGTTCGAGGTTTGTGATAACATCGATCTGAATATGGTTCTGACGGAGTATGAGAGCTATCACTATGTCAAGTTCCAGAAATATCCCAAGCTTATTAGAAGAAAATCTGAACCAGGTATATCACCACTGGTTACAAACTTACACACAAATAATAACACACAGATAATATCTCCTACTTGATGGTACAAATGTATTGCCTAATTCATAATCATTATTCTCACTTATAGGCAATTGTTGTCTTCTGTTTTTTTAGGTCAAGGTCAATCCAGTGCAAAAAGTGGTACAAAGAAGTAGGTGTCTCCAGCCCTCACATGCGTCTTTTTAACTCATTTTTAGGATTTTTGTTGTTTTGATGTTTTCTATACATCCTGACAATGTAAACTAAATGTCCACCAGGAGTCCTTGTTCATCTGTAAAGCCTCTTCCCAAAATCAGCCAGACCCTGCAGCCTGGAAACAGCGTCAAGAAGACAGCTGCCACTTCACATACAAATGTATAGTAAAGCGTTAAACAAAGAACAAAATAACAACAAAGCATGATATGAACATATAAAGTGACTCTACAGTTATCCTTATGGCAGTGTTTAATTTGTTTTTAGGAGCATTGCTCCGCTTTGCCAACAGAGCTGCTAGAGTTTGGTCTCAATGTTTCCTCAATTCGAAGTGAAACAGCTGGGGAGACAGCCATTGGCAGAAAGGTACTAAAGGATTGTTTTTGTTTAAGAACATTTTTAAGGCAACATTTTATTTGTTTATATTTCAGACAACACTCATCCAGAGTAAGTGGAAAATGTAAAGACCTAATGAATATAGAACGTAGAAATCAACTGTGCACTCATATCCATTATATATCTCCTTTTATGGGTGGCAGGGAGATGGATGAAGCTCATACTTAATGGGCGATTCAGAGTTAGGACGCCGTAGTTGGCATTTGAGAACATGCAGACATGTTCAGACCGCGCTAATATGCACCAGAATGTAACTATTATGCAACTTAAAGTAACCTTTTTTTTTTAAAAATATTTATTTTGTGGCTTTTTACCCAAAGTAAATTTAGCGATTAGTTTTGTTCTTTTCATGCAAATGTAAACCAAATGATATTAAATATTCTACTGCCTATCTTAGGTCCAGATGAGCGATAGCAAAGGATTGATCAATGACATTGTCAAAGGAGCAAGCTGTGACTCAGACTACATGGTAATTACAATGAAGAGTCCTAGAACACTGAGGAAATAAGGAAAAAGTTATGATGAGTACCTATTACAACATGCTTATTTTATTTTTGCCTCTTGTTTCTTAGTTATATGAAGGCATTTGAAATACATGAAATCAAAAACCATCCAATATTAAATCAGCTAATAGTACTACAATATTACAATTTCTACAGATTTCGTATTGTCTTGCAGGAAAAGCTGCTGAAGCCCCTCAGTGGTTTTTATGGAATGAGTGGAGAGATGAGAGAACTTGCTGCAATCATCAGCAAAGTAATACACACACTCAGCCACTGCATGCACTGACAGTGATAAAAAGATGCATATGTTCTTTTTTTCTACATTTAGAAGTGATGTATAATATGAAAATATACTTGAATTGAAATGCAAGTCCAAATATTTCCACTAGGGAGCAGTGGAGAGCTGGTTGTGAATTAATTGATGTGGTATAGCAATGAAGCCTACAATTGTATCTATTTCTCATCTGATTTTTCATTCTGTGGACACAAGTTTCATTGCATCTGGATGTGTGTGTGACAATTTTAGCTGATATCATCCACATTAATCTTTCACTCAGTGTGTTTGTGTGTTTTCATGCCAACAGGACATCTATTTGCACAGCCCTGATGTGCGCTGGGAGGACATCATTGGCCTGGAGGATGCAAAGCGATTAGTCAAGGAGGCCGTCGTCTATCCCATTAAGGTGCGGCCATTGCCTGGGTACGCTGGTTATCCAGATCTGTTCGCCTATGTTCGATTCTGAATACATCTTCTTTAAAAGGCTTAAAGGGAAGGAGGGTAGCTAGGTCAGGCCAGTCTGTTAGGCTGACATTAAATCTATATAAAAGATATTATGGAAGAACACATATACACAAATTGATAGATAGGAAGGGAGGCAGGAACACACACATGGCAGTGTAACCCACACATAGACTATATCTTTGGCAGAGAGTAATGGAATGAGAATGGGCAGGAGAAACCGCTATTTGTATTAAGAAAGGGATAGTTTGTGTAGAATAATAATTTACTATAATAATTTCAGAATTATTTGCGAGATTGAAAAAGTTTGTAAAGAAAATTGAAAAGAATTTGCTGAATAAAGCAGAATTAAAATGTTAAATTAACATACACCCTTCTATATATTTAAATGGGGCATGGTATCTGGGCAGCTCAAACAAAACCTGCAGACATTTAAGGTACAACAAATATATATATATATATATATATATGTACATTTCATATATTTATAAAAACTACATGCAAAGTAGAGGAGAATGTATGTGATAATGTATACAGTATATATATATATATATATGGCACCAGCTCCACATGCTAATTCACAAAATGCTGATGCATACAGAGACTGTGCATACCAGCACCCTGATACACAAAGACATAAATAAAAGACTTGCACACATACATACACACAGCTATGACAACAAATCATGTATGCATCGTCTTGATATGTATGGACGAGGATGAGGACTGATATGGCTATCTTCCATTCTGTTTCACTCTATTATTGAATAACAGAATAAAACGATACCTCCATCTTCCAACAATCCCAAACTTCTTTCTTCATTATTATTCATTTTATGGAGTACAAGGTCATTTTGTAGATGTGACTCACCTCTGTGTGCCATCTAAAGCTCAGACAATTTGTGTTTTATGGTATTTTCAGTGCTGACTCTGCTGTATATCTGGCAAATCAGTTTAAACTTTACCCATTCATGGTTTCAGTTGGTCTGCAGGGAATGGGATGCAAGATTTGGAGCTGGAAATATATGCTTGCAATTACAATTTTTTCCCTTGTTGAAAAGTAATGTGATCACTAAATGCTTGCCTGTTCTCTTGTAGTGTATATATCTAACTCTTCCACTGTCTCTTCTCAGTACCCTCAACTATTTACAGGCATACTTTCTCCATGGAAGGGTCTGCTGCTGTACGGCCCCCCAGGTAATATCTCCAGCACTGTTAACCTGCAGTTTGTAAGGTTTACTGATGAGAGAAAAAAATATTTTGCTTGCCTTAAATCAGTCACATTCACACAGGTACAGGTAAGACACTGTTGGCCAAGGCCGTGGCTACAGAATGTAAGACAACCTTCTTTAACATCTCAGCCTCAAGCATCGTCAGCAAGTGGAGAGGAGACTCTGAAAAACTGGTCAGGGTAGGTATTCTTAAGCACACAAAATCCATCAATAAATCCATCTTTATTTTTATAGAGGCAATTCATAACAAGTGTTCACTTTAAAGTGAATAAAGTGAGACACTTTACAAAAAGCAGGTAAAAGACCTTACTCTTTATTTAATATTACGAAAGAGCAGGTAAAAAGACCGCTGTTCTTTGTTATGTTACAAAAAGCAGGCAAAAGACATTACTTACCGGTATCACTATATCACAAAGACCCAGACCCCGCTTCATGAGCGTAGCACTTTAGCAACATTTTAGCAAAAGTTACCACAAAACCGATCAATACCATTAAAAAGAAAAACTCCTATATTGCATGTAATTTGTATTTTGTGCATTATATATCTGCAGGTTTTGTTTGAGCTGGCCAGATATCATGCCCCATCCACAATCTTCCTAGATGAGTTGGAATCAGTGATGAGCCAGAGAGGGTGAGCTCAACCTTATAATGTTGCAAAAGGAAAAAAAAATACCCCCCAATGTTAAAGGTTAAGAGTGTACTCCCTGCTATAGCATCTGTTTTTAATCATTGCCATTTGAAATGCCAAATGTGCTTGATTAGTACTGCATGTGTTTTTCTTTGCACACACACACACTTTTGAAAATTTTAAGTACAATGAATGATTCCTTACTCTCTGCTTAATAAAACTTTGGAATAGCAGACGATTTGTTTTTCATTGTGTTTTCAGAGGAGAGCATGAGGGGAGCCGCAGGATGAAGACTGAGCTTCTGGTTCGGATGGATGGACTTGCAAAGTCTAACGACCTAGTGTTTTTATTGGCTGCTTCCAACTTGCCTTGGTAACACTCAAACATAAACACACACCAATTTTTTTTTTTTATTAATTGCGGTAATACAAACAAACAATTGTGTTCTTTTTTTTTACCTATAACATCTATAAGTACCAACTAACATTTACGAATAAAGATGGAAGACAGATGTCCTCTTCAATGCTTAATTTTTCTCTTGTTCTGCTCAATTCAAGGAAGGTTAAAATTATTTTCCTTAAGTATAAAAATGCCTTATAAGCTACACATTCAGGATAGGATGGCCTGTTTTTCCCCCTTTTTTAGATTTAGTCTTGTAACTTTTCCTACTCTTCTGTCAGGGAACTGGACCATGCCATGTTGCGCAGGTTAGAGAAAAGGATTTTAGTAAGTCTCCCTTCTTCAACAGCGCGCCAAGCCATGATTTCTGATTGGCTTCCTCCTCTTAGCACCACTGGAGGGGTGGAATTGCGAACTGAGCTGGACTATGAAACTTTGGCGAAGGTTTGTTACATTAAGACCCATTAAGATCATTTCTTTAATCCTACATTTATATTTCACATGATCTTTGTCAAGTATAACTTAAAATGGCTAAATCTGTTTCTGTGTTGTTTCTGCTCGTGTTTAAGGAGATGGACGGTTACTCTGGCTCTGATATAAGACTGGTGTGTAAGGAGGCTGCAATGAGACCAGTTCGCAAGATTTTTGATGCTCTTGAGTCACATCTGGACGGTAGAACAAAATACTCACACACACACCAAAATAGCTATACATTTCTGTCAGGTGTCTTCGAATAAAACCCTCAAATCTCACTGGGACTCCCCTTCACAGGAGATTCTAACATGCCTGCCATCCAGCTGGAAACAGTGACGACAGCTGACCTGCGAGAAGTCATAAGTCACACCAAACCTTCAGCTCGAAACTTGATGGACAGATTTACAGCCTGGGAGAGAGAGTACATGTCTGTTTAAAGCAACAACAACAACAAAAGACTTTTGCACTGAAAATCAGAAGATTTTTCTTCTTAATGTATAAGAATGACATACTGCTGTTACAAGGTGGTGACCTTAACTTGATTGTGTAACTTAACCCGTTCATGCCTTATAACTTCTGGTGGATATTTCACATCAATCAAGTTAAACGTTCCTGAACGAGGATCTGAAATCGTTGGTACTCTGAGCCACTGCAATTTTCAATGTAGTCTTTATTCATTTGTTTTATCTGTACAATAAGCATCACAAAGACACACTTGACAGCAGACACCAGCGGCACATTTTTTTCACACGTCCTACATTATATGATGCATTGAAAGTAGTTGTTTAAAGGGTAAAAAAAAGGTAGTATCTTTTCAAATATGCATTCTTACTTTTGTTTTTGTCATCTTTAATTATAAAGAGGCTTTCAACTTGACTGTTTGTGTAAAACTTTGTTTTAATGCTTTGGATGATAGGTCAGACTCATTAGGTAAGAGGACTGCTTGTCTTCCTTTATAATGATGAGAGGAGGGGAATAACAAAGAGAGTCTACAATGAGGTTCATTATTAAATAATTTACTTCCCTCCACTGTGAAATCACATTAAATCTAAAACAGTTACAAGCGTCCGTTAAATCACCATTAGTCTAGAACAGTTACAAGTGTCTGTTGGACCATTCATGTTGGAATTAAAGATTGGGAAAGAAATGTAGGCTGTAGACTTCTGAAGTTACAAGCTTATAGGAGGTTCTTCAGGATGTGTTCAACAGCATCTGGAAAACTGTCACATGTCAGGTGGGGAGGAGGGTTGATTTTGTTCTCATCTCCTTCTCTGTATTTACCTGGTAGATGAAAGAAGTAAGGTAGGACTAACTATCAGCCTAAAAAACCCACAGATCAGATTTGATTTAAATCTGAAGTGCACTGGAAATAAAATATTGGAATTATGAAAAATAAAAGGATAAGAACAAGATTAAAGGAAAATACCATTACATTTAGATTTTAATTAAGACATTTCATTGAAATAATAAGATTGAGAGATGATGAAGAGTAACATAATAACAGATTGTGGTTGAGAGATGGGTGAATGCTGGATGTGTTAGCTGGAGGAAGTAATACGTTACCTGTCCTGACCAAAATTCCCAACATTCCTGTGTTCTGAGCCCCACCCACATCATCTCTGGCATCCTGTGGAAAAACACAAACAGCCTCAAAACAAAAATGTAATGATCATTAAATACTAATACGTTTTAATCCAACAGTGCTATCTTCTGAGATATTTTTAATGAACATTTACTGATACTTTAAAACAAGTTTCTATTAAGAAATGACGAGTCTCAGAATCGATTCATAAAGACGGCCTGTGGACAAAGCTTCTTTGGGATATTTTAAGATTAAATACAACAAGCTTGCTGATAGTGAAACCTTTTAGACAATATACTTACATCTCCTATCATGATGGCTTCATCTGGCCTACACCCTAAATCAGACAGAGCCTGTTTGACCAAAAGAGAAAGAGAGGTCTCATTTAGAGGTATATCACATTTCCTAACTGTGAAATTCATTCAGACAATATAACAAAAAATAAAAATACAAGAAGAATGGGACTCTGACATGAGAAAAATGGACTACAGTAGGTCAACAATGTATGTAAAAAGTATATTGAAATGTTTATCCACATTCTACTCAGTTTGAAATGTATTTGATGAATATAAAAGGCTTTTGTGAATTCATTAAAACAGTCAAAACAATATAATATACAACATTTTTACCTGCAAGAAAAAAGTATTTTCTGGCTTCCCCACTACAGTAGCTTTACAGTCTGTGGCATATTCAAGTCCCGTCACAAAGGGCCCGGGGCCCAAGGCCAAACCATCCATACGTTTGTAGTACCGGGCCTTATGAATGGCGATGAGAGGAGCGCCACTGAGAATCAATCTGGGGGAAAATGTACATGTTAAACAGGCTGCAATATATCAAACTGTACAAGAAAATCAAGGTCATACATGATTTTGAGCCATTTTAAGGGAATAAAAGCTCACAAAAAACATCATGTAACCTGTGTAATGCATTATGTAATAAAACTACATTATGTAATTTCTAAACAAAATGTAATTACACAAAAATACTTGAAGACACTACTGACAATGTAGGCAGAACATAAATAAATGTTTTAAAGGAAACATTGAAGTAGCTTTCATTGTACAAGGTACATTCGCACATACAAGTATATACAGGCTTACCAACACTAACACATGCAGAAATGTATTATCATTAATGTCTACACATACTATTGAGGTATATGTAAGTATTCATGTATTCACAAGTGGGTAGGATACAGTGACACCTGGAGTATGTTACCATGCTAATCTGCTAAACTAATAGTATCAAGGCAGTATGCTTTATGCTAGGATGATTGAAAGGAATGTTGTTGTAATGTAAATTGTTTATTATGAATGAAGATATCCATTCTGGTTGGATATTACATAGTGCACCATATTATTACAGTTATATAAATTATAAAAGCAACTCCCACATTTTTAATAAATTGCAATATCTACTAAGTACTTTTAATATTTGGGGAAATGTATTTCAAATTGTGTTCATGACGTTTATTTCAAAATATGGATGTTATTAAAAATGAGAATGAAAATTACAAGTGAAAATGTATTACATTTTGTATACATTAACAATGTGATGCAATTACATAATGTGTTGTAACAAATCTGTCAGGAAAGCTTCTCAATGTTTCTCTAATTTAATGATGAATTTGTCTAGTACTGACTTTACCACCTGAAAGCCTTGTTGAGCATTTGGTAGTTGAAGTGATCAGGAGCAAGTCCAATAACAACAGCATTTGGCTCCGACGTGTCAATACCTAAAGAAAGAGACATTACATACCCAAGGAGTCATTTATCAGAAAAAAAAGTTATTTGCTTAGTCTTAAAATATAAAAATGCATTAATGCCAATTTTTTTCATACTGATATTATGTTAAAATGTAAGTTTGGTTAAACAGGTAAGTGAACAGTCAACAAAAACTGGTTCCAGTAGTGAGTAGTTTCATGAAGACCTCAATCTTTGTATGTTTATTGGCACCTTTGGCATTGTACAGTTTTGACAGTTGACAGTTTCTGTAGATCTGAACATTAGCTAATTTTTTTGGGGAAAATTTTCTTTCATGCTTTTGTCAGCAATCTGCTTTCTTTGTATTCTAACCAGGGTAATATGCACCTCTTTTGATTGTCCCTTTAATGTGGACATATACCCAGTTTGTAATACTGAACTGTTTGGGTTAAGGTAAAAATAACAATCCAACCTCAAATAATCGGTTGAAAGTCCACTGTGTAAAATCAGGGGGTCGTATGAGAGAGCTATTGTGAGAAATGGAAATATGATATTCACAAGGATGTTCAAATAAAAAATTGAGCTTTTTATTTTCAGGGTGAGAGAGGGTACTCTTAAAAAGGTACATTATACCCTTATATATAGTCCAGAAAAGATGATCAAAACCCTGGCTTGAGCAGGCCATTTGTATTTTACACTTCTTTATTTTTGGTAAGTCATCTGAATTCTTCATGTTTAGAGAGATTTATGTTTCGGATACTTTTATTTTGAAATATTAAAGCCGGGGATGCCCGTACCTTCCAGAGCTTCACTCTATGGGTCCACCTTTTGGTGAGTATGCTGCTCTCCTTACAGGGTCCTCAAGGTATGGGGCTCAACTGCTGCTTACACGTCGACTGCTTACTTCGCAAGCTACCAAAGTTTCACAGAGACGGTTTATAGAATACCTGCAGCTGCGGGGCAAACTGAACAGCGCAAACCTCAACCCCTACAACCTACCAGAGCTGAATGGTTATCTTCAAGACAGAGCCCAGCTGTAGCATCTGTCCAGTAGATTGGTGCAATGCTACCGACAAGAGAGACCCCCAGGTAATGGGAAGGAGAAGAGCCTGTTCAATGGAAACTTTAGCTGTCTGAATCCATCTAATGACTCTGTGTTCTCTGACCGGAACCCTGTAGTGGTCAATTTTCCAAACCAAGTTTAAGTGGGGCTTAATACCCAACAGTAAAAGAAATTCTTCTACATGGTTTGGAAGGGCTGGGTGAGGGGAGTATATGTCAGTGATTTGCAATCTGCAACCCCATCAATACATTTAATTTAATCTTAAACAATCCCCCTTTAAAATAAAACCAAAGTGGATTTTATGTCTGCTAATAAAAGACAGATTGGAATGTAAACGTTAGTTGTTCAGTTAATGGCTGCATTACAGACGGATTACTCAGTTACAATAGCACTGAACTACAATAACAACAGTGCTTATTAACAAGTTATTTTCAGTTTAAGATTATTTGATTGCTTAAACTAACAAAAAAAATTCAGATGCAGAAAAAGTAAAAACGATCCTACATCTATTTAACACTAACACACACACACACAAGCTGCTCCTTACCAGTAAAATCTTCCAGTGCGCTGTCCTCCACTAGCAAAAGCGGTCTGTGTTGTTTCTGCAATAACAAACTCCTTGCGGCACTCAGTGAGGTGAAGACTTCCTGTTCCTGCAGAGTGAAGTTCATTTTTTAAACTAAGCACCAAATAGGTTAAAACCAGCATAAGAATCACAAATTGTGTTTGGGTGATTCATTAAATCGTATGAGGATATTCCTTGTGCTGATTTTGATTTCTCAAGTCCAGCCTAGTTTCCAGATTTTTTAGGGTGCAAAGCTTTTTGTTTTAAGTAGTACTTTTTCTATTTCCCTATTATTAAAAAGCACTAGCAGTTAATTAAATATGGCTTTGGATGTCTTTACCTGGAGGTTGAAGTTGAGACGTTGCATCGTACCATTAAGTTCCTCTTACTCTCCTTTGTTGTATTGGTCACAAATTTCACAGCTAAAGAAGCCTGCCGTAACCTGAAAACAATTAAGCAATTATCATGCAATTAAAAATACTGAAGAAGTGTTGTTGTTTTTTTGGTGCATATAAGCTTTTATTTCATTTTTGTTCTTGCAGTAACCTGTCAGACTCTTAACAATTGTATGTCTGTGCCGGCATGGCTTTTTCGTCTTCTTTTTCTAATTTTTTTTTTTATGTGAAAATGTGTCAACAAAACAAAAGTGAAAGACAAAGCAAAATATACAAAACATTTCGTTGAAGGATTAGAAAGACAGGTAAAATTAGAAGAGATAAAAGCTTAAGTAAAAAAGGATAAGAGAGAAAAAAATATGGAAAAATTAATCAATTTCAGGTTTATCTACTGGAAAGAGAAAATTGAAGTGAAAATATGCAAGGGGTTTTTGTACCTAAAAGTGCATCCATGTCTTGTTTGGGATGTTCCTTACCTATTCAGAGCATCCTGTGCCCCTGGTACTGCTGTGTCTTCTATGTGAAGAGTTCCACTCAGGTCGATGAGAACAGCCTTCAGAGCCTTTCG